CTTCTCCCTGGGATCCTGTGACAGGATGCATGGGAATGACTTAAAGCTGCATTAGGGGAGGTCTAGACTGGACATCAGGAACCATTTCTTTGAGGATGGTCAAATGCTGGAACAGGCTTCCTAGAGAGGTGGTCGATGTGCCCTGCCTGTCAGTGTTTAAGGGGCATTTGGACAATGCCCTCAATAAAAGGCTTTAACTTTTGGTCAGCTCTGGAGTGGTCAGGCAGATGGACTAGATGATCGTTGTAGGTCCCTTGCAACTGGAACTATTCTATTCTAAATACTCCAGTGTAGTCCACAACTCTGTGTGTTCAGCCCACAGGACTAAACTAGAGCTAGTTCGAAGTAAAACCCTCTGAAAGGCAGGTAAGTTGGCTGTTGGGTCCTCATTGTGAATCCTTTCACTCTGTAGTTCCATTCCTATTGGGCAGTATACACATAGCCTATGATGGAGAGACTATTCCTCCTGTTGTGTGCTAGTGCTGGAGAAGTGAATATGATTTTTATTTCTATCTCTTTCCAAATAGCGACAATGACTTTGAAGAACTGAGGTAGGCAGATTAGTTGCTACTGCATTTTAGATGTGTGGAAAGGCAGCAGAGGAAGCTGGTGGTAAAGATACTGGTAGGACAAGTTCTTGTGACTCCACCATAGCTGTCCTGTGGGCAAACAGAAGGGATAGGTGGTTTTTTTTTTTTCTATCTTTAGCACTTAAGTATAACTTCTTTTCCACGCTGTATGTGTTTCATTTACATATTTATGAATTCAATCTCACAGTACATAAGCTGTACTAAAACTAGTGTTTTTTAAAATGTCAGACAAACGTAGTAGTCAGATATCCTTCTGTTCATAAAGAGTTGTTTAATCGCTTCCCTAATGATATTTCTTCACCCTTGCCTATACAGTACATTATTTTGCCTGTGTTTATGTAGATATGTAAGAACAATGCTTATTTTGATTCCAATATCGGATGATCTAAATGAAGATACAGATGAGCTGGGATCTCAAGACTGATACAAGTTTTGAACAAAAGTTCCCAGAGGTGGAAAGACTTGGGCAACTTTAAGCACCCTTTTGCCTGCCCAATCCTTTTCCAGAAGGAGCTTTTCCAGAAACTAAGGTAGGGCATTGGAGCTGAAGTTACAGTGGCCTGCTGTGGTCACACATGGAAGGCTGGTTCCCTGGATCTCCCAATTGCCTGCCTCAAGTTACCTCTGCACCAGAAAGAGGTGGGGAGGTCTTCTGTCATTAACTTCATGTCTTTTTCCTGCAGTTTAGGTTTGGGGGTCCTCCCCATAGCGAATTTTAAAGAATTTTTCTCCTGTTTCAGGCTTTTAGCCAGCTGTAAGAATCAACGCAAAGCGAGAGCATCACATCCTGATTTTTTTTTTAACGTAAAACAATAAACATGGCTTAATGTGAATATCTGTAATATGTTTGACCTTGGCTGGCTGCCAGATGCCCTTTCAGCCACTCCTCTCACTCTGCCTCCTCAACAGGGAGAAAATAGGATGAGAAAGCTTGTGGGTCAAGGTAAAGACAGGGAGATCATTTACCATTTCCTGTCACAAAAACCGACTCGACTTGGGGAAGAGTAATTTATTGCCAATTCTGGCGAAAGAGTAATTTATTGCCAATTAAAAATAGAATAGGATGGTAAGAAGCAAAGACAAAACTAAAAACACCTTCCACCCACCAATCCCTTCTTCCTAGGCTCAACTTCACTCCTTCATTCCTGACTCTTCTACCTCCTTCCTCCCCAGGCGGTACAGGATGGGTAGGGAATGGGGGTTGCAGTCAGTTCTTAAACCTTCACCTCTGCTGCTCACTCCTTTTCACACTGTTCCCTGCTCTAGCATGGGGTCCCTCCCATGGAATACAGTCCGTTGTCAACTGCTCCAACATGGTTCCTTCTCACAGGCTGCAGCTCTTCAAGAACTGCTCTAGCATGAGTCCTTTCCATGGGGTACAGTCCATCTGGAAAAGACTGCTCCAGTGTGGGTCCCACATGGGCCAGGAACTTGCTCCTGTGTGGGCTCTCCATGGGCTGCAGCTTCCTTCAGGGCACATCCACTTGCTGCAGTGTGGGGTCCTCCACAGGCTGCAGTGTGGATATCTTGTCTGGCGTGGTCCTCAGTGGGCTGCAGACGGACAAACTGCTCCACCATGGTCTTCTCCATGGGCCGCAGGGGAATCTGCTGCAGTGCCTGGAGCACCTCCTCCTCTCCTTCCCCGCTGCCCTTGGTGTCTGCAGAACTTTTTCTCTCACATTTTTCTTACTCTTCTCTCCTACAGCTGCTGCGTAGCTTTTTTTACCTTTTCTCAAATATGTTTTCACAGAGGCGCCATCAGTGTTGCTGTTTGGCTCAGCAGGGTCCCGCGGTGGCTCTGTTTCGGGAGCTGGCTGCAACCAGCTGTGTCTGGCATGGGGGAAGCCCCTGGCTTCTTCTCATGGAGGCCATTCCTGCAGCTCGCCCACTGCCAAAGTCTTGCCACGTAGACCCAATACAGTATCATATCTCATGTTTCCTCATACAAGATATGTTAACTCCAGGCAGTTTGGTGACAAACACATTAGATTGAATTTCCAAGGGGAAAAATGTCCATGTTTCACCTTTAGCATGTTATATAGTGGTTTGATGTGAAGTGTTCTTATTCTGGCTCTCTTCTTCAAAGCTGTCAAAGGGGCTAATCAGCATGTGAATCTCATAGATTGCAAAGTTTCCAGCTTCTGCTCCTTGAGAGATTCCAGTTATAGCCAATTTAGCATGCATATATATGAGGCACATACATGTTGGCCTAATATAAAATAATCTTATAGATTAAATGGTACTGTCATTACAGAATAACTGTTGCTAATGAGGCAAGAATTAATACCAAAATAAGGGTTGTTAGTATGATTGTGAGTGGAGGTACTCTTCCATTTTTTTCAGAGTTCTAATATGTGTTAAAAAAATACATCTGTTTTTAAAACTCCTGCCATTTGAAGTCAAAACTTTCAAAAGTAACTAGTTATTTTGACCTGCTCCATTTTTAAGGTGCATTAAAGAGACCTGCCTTCTCTGAAAATTCTACACAGCCAGATAATGTACATGCAAACAGGAGTTTTGCATTGAAAATCTTCATCTAATTTCTTTTTAACCTATGATATGCAGCAGCCCACTGGGAATATATTTCTTATTTCGAAACAAAATACTAGTTTAGCTTCTTTTCTTTTTGATGTTGCCTGTCCCTAGGTGTGCCTTTCTTTCGGAGAAGAGGTTCTGGATGATAAAGCACATACCTGAATCAAAACACAAAATGCTATAAGAATAAGGGAGTGGAGTCCAAAGTGTCTTCAGTTCATTTAGAAGGAACAGTATGAGCCTTCATCTGGCAACCTTGCACAGTTCCATCCATGAACTTAGGAACAGAACACTGCATCACAAAGATGAGATCCTTCAAATTAGTGTTAAAGCCAATGACAAAAAGAAGACTTGGCTATAATGCAGCCAAATTCAGTTCAAATTTTTCAAAGTATTTTGTTGAGAAGGAGAAGGGGTCTATTTACATGCAGGTTTTGGGGTGGGCTCTTTTTTCATCCTTTTGGATAATAAAGCTGTGAAAGTCTTAATTTACATACGACTTCTCATACCAGCCAGGAGGAATGAGGAGGGGTTGCACAGAATGAGAGTGTGATCAAATGGGAATTGATTTTTTTTAAAAAAAAAAAAGCAAACTTCAATAAGTAGCTGTAAGGCCAGGATCATTGAAGCAATTTTTATATTTTTTGTTCTGTATCTTTATGCCTCACACAAACGGTGTATCTTCCAAATTCAATTATTTTTATTGAAAGACACTGGAAATCAAAACAGCTGGTGATGAATTTCCCTGCAGTGGTCTGCAGGAAATGTGGCAGAGAGAGTTAGAGTTTGTGAAAGGAGCTGTACTGATTTGATTTTTTGTTGCCTTAGGCATCCCAGCTGTGTTGAGACCGAGCTTTCTGGAAGATGAGATACTTACCTATAAACAGCACTAGCAGGTACGTTTTCAGAACATAGGGGAAGTAGATTGAGAAGGCGAAGGGAAGTGGTAGCTTGACGGAGTATGTGCCAAAGGATTCAAAATATGGCAGTGATACACAAATTGCAAATGCTGTAAAATAACATGGAAAATCTTTAGTCAAAAGGAGGTGGAAGATCATCAAAAAGCTTCATATAAAAGTCAGTTACCTTTAAGGCACAGGTAGCTATATTATATGCTGAATTTACCACGTCATTCATATGCATATGCACATGTTGTTTTCTCCTTGAGTTCAGTTTTGTAGGTCTGAGGTGCTAGTTGCTCTTAATACTAGAATTAGCAAGCATTTGCTATTCAATAACAAGTTCCGTCATGCCTGTAGTTGCACTGCTTTCCATATGATCTCAGTGGGCACATTTCCTGGTGTAAGTATGATAAGCTGCAAAGTATGGCTTGAGCCAATAAGGTCAGCCTCAGTGGGGGAGAAGGCAGCTTTGGGACTTGCTGTCTAATGTGGTCAGTCTGGAATGGGGGAATCATCTGGCTCTTGTGGAGGTATTTTCCTGCTTTACCCGGAAAAATGAACATTTTCCTATACTGTTAAAAAACAAAACAAAACAAAAAAAACAGACACACAAACCCCAGAGAACCCCTATTAAGGAAAAAAGTACAGAAAAGAGAAAGGTAAGTGACATACAGGTTCATATGAGAGGACATAAACATTTATGACTACTTTGGCAACACAAAAACGAAACCACAAATGACAATTGAACTGACCAAATTTTATTGAAGAAGATTAAGGAAGCAAGTCGTTGGTACCTTTCCCATCTCCTTACCTTTAGCCAGAACTGAAAGGGGATAGAGTGGGATGCACAGTGAGAAGTTGAGCCATGTCAGTGGTAGGTAGTATATTCCCATCCTTGCTAACATGTTGTAAGTGTACCTGCAGCAAGAGGAATGGCAGATGAGCTCAGAAGGAATGATCATGTGTTTAAAATAAAGATATATTGTGAAAAATCCAAGGGAATTGCAGGAGAGCTTGGAGCTGCCTATCTGAGAAAATTTCAGAGCAATACCACAGCAGTTTTGTTCAGGCTCTAATCAGTATCTGAAAGTAGATGGTTGATTGTTTTGGAAGGGTTGCCTGTGGTGCTACCCTAGAGCAATACAGCCCTCCAGCCCAAAGGCTTTATCAGAAACCAGGATGATTTCATATTGGTCCATCAGAAAATGGATTTCAGATAGGGATGTCACAACTGAGAGGGGCAGGCAGAATATGGCTGTTGCTTGGGACTGAGAAAATGCTGATTTATGACTGCTGACCCAGCTAAACCGCTACTGAAGGAGGCTAAACAGCAAGGTAATCACAGGTACTTAATCCTCTGTAGTACGGCTGCCCCTCCACTGGACCTCAGAAGGGGTAGTAAAAAAAAGCAGTTGCACTCCGATGTATTACAGCATTTTATTCTTACTGTGGCTGTTACTGTTGCTGACTGGGAGACCAGAATACCTAGGAGTTCAGTCTCCAAAGGCGACCTAGTTTGATCTAGAAGTGGTACAGCAGCTTTCCAAACACCGGAGAAACAGGTCTGATTGCATTTTTGGTCAGGTGAAAGGCTTTTTGCCCTGTGGTCTTGCTAGAGATAGGAAAGTAAGGATTTTTAAGCCACTGTTAGCCAGGACTGTTTCTGACAGATGGAACCAGCATTAAACAAACTTTCTGTATTCCCTTACTATTAATTCATTTGACTAATTTTGCATCATTCCTGGACTGTAGAAGAGTTTGATAGGCTATAAAATCTCTCAGGTTTGCTCTCTGCAACTTCAGGATTGTCTCCATTTTTTATTATTTTTATTATTACTGCTTTTAAGGCATAATCTCAACCCAATACAAAAAGGAAACAGCTACTCCTCTCTGTACACTTTCTTGGGCTGTTTATGGTATAAGCAGGAAAGATCAGATATAGAAAACCTTGCAGAATTTGCTCTCAGTATATCATTAGCCATAATGCACAGGGTATTTATGTCCCTGAAGAACAATGTGGAAGAACTGGTAATACTTTAAGACTAGATGGCTAAGGGATGGGATAGATTCCTGTATGCTTTTAGACATCAACACTTCTTTGAGGTGCTAGGACATGGCATAGATGCTGTAAAATGAATCAGGTAAGAATTCTAAATCTGTATGAGTTGTATAATTGCGTTATTATTTGAATTGGTCATTTGCTGCTATAGTGTCTTGCCTATTAATCGGCTGCTGTTATTGCTATGATGCTGGACTGTGTTTTTTAGCAATGATAGAAAATAACGATACATTGATAGGACTATTATGCACTGTCAGGACTTCACAGCCAATATTGCTTACACTTTTGGCCTCTCTCCAGCTGCACAGAACCCTTTCATTTGAGATTAGGTTCTACTATTTTAGCTTTGCAAACTTCAAAAAGAAATGGGATTGAGCAATAATCCAAATAATGAATACAAGTAGTAATTTATTAACACATGTAGTACAAATACTCTGCAGCTGACTTAAAATCTTTCTTATCAATCCTACCTGACGCTTCCCTTTTTTGGATCTCTTTTATAACATACATTTCCTTTGCTGCCTAAATCCATATTCCCCAGTCAGTCCCCAAAGCAATGTATTTAAAATAGCAGAAAGCTATTTTAGCAGAAAGAAGAAGATAAAGAAGAAAATGTTGCTCCCGTACAGAGGTTGCCATGAGGGTTATGTCTTGTTAAAATGCTTCTTAATTCCATATGTCTTCCCTGCTGTAAGTCTACAAACTGAGGTCCATAGAGGCTTAAGTTACATTTGAAAAATGTTACTGACTTCAGATATCGATGCAAAAGTCAGTAATGTGGAATTTTGACCATTATACTTTTACCACAGGGAGATACTGGTAACCTTCTACCATACAAAATTTTTGAAATAAAAATCCTGAATTGTATTCCTGTTTATTTTGCCTCACGTGCGTTGTCCCTGTGGTGTGATATATGCCCTACTACACCAAAATTCTCAGTCTCTGCAGCAGGAGCTCTTGGCTTTTTGGAAAGCACAGTGCAATTAACTCAGAATAGTCTTTCCATCTTAGTAAGAAGTTCTGCCGGTGCTGCCTTACTGTGCTGTCAATCTTGGATTGAAGTGACATACTAAAAAAAAAAATTAAAGAAGTAGGATTGTAAATCAGTTTTGGAAATTGCTGTTTCGCGGGAGGTAGTTGTGATTTCCTTCTAAATTTTTGTTTAAAAAGTCAAATCCTTTGAACTACTCATGTTAATGCAATGATTTACTTCTGTAAGTTGCTCTGCCTCTCAACTATGCTGATTTGTTAAAAAATCCTTAAGTAGCTTATAAGGTCTAAGCTTTTATTTAAAATGGATAATATGCTTTTCTACCAATTTCAAAATAATGAAATGAGCCTGCAGCACAGCGGGGGTGAGTTTCTGCTCCCAAGAATGACCCATTTTTCCCTCATGGTTTTGCCATTGACTCCTTACCTGACCACATCTAATAAGTTCCAAAGGAAAAATAAAACACACACAATGTATTTCCCTTGAACTTCTTCCTGACTGTTGATCACGACAAATAAAACAATTATTCTCTCAGTGATCTGAAAAGAAAAAAGAATTGTGAATTCAGGTAGCACCTTCTATAGCTCTCATTTCTGTGCCATTTGGCAAAATGGGAGGCCACAGGTGAATCCAGTTTGCTTTACACAAATGCTCGAGTGAACGTTTCGCTTCTTGGTCTGATTTTGTTCAAGGCCCCATTGGCCTCCAGGTCGGGGAACTGGAAACTGGTGGCTGCAGCACCATAGATCTGCGATGGTAGGGGTGGAGGTTTGCTTGCCGGTGGGGATGACCTGGGTTTGTAGCCCAGGAAGCCTGTGCATGAGCCAGCTGAGGTCGTGGGAGCAAGGACTTCTCCCACTGCGCCCGGTGCCTGGAGGGCCGGCAGGGGTCCGCTTCCTTGCTTGTAGGCTGCCTGGGAGGCCGTGGGGTACAGAGGGCCCTTGGGTGGGTAGTATGCCAGACAGTGCTAATCTCAGAGTCCCAGCTCTGCTTTCCATAGCTTGGAGATCTGCGTCCCAAGGGATCTTTCTCACGTAAAATTTGCAGAAAGGAGGAGGAAAAGTAGAATTCCTTATTCTTCTTTCCTTCTTATTCCTGGCTAGAAGTGGGTTTAAGCTTGTCATTTATGTGAATTATTGCCATAATATTTATGTCATAACATTCTTCTAGTGGTTGAATCTTATCTGACTCACAAGGTATGCCTTTATAAATGAAAAGATATAAAAGTGGATTAAACAGGCAGTGTCTCCAGCTTAAAAAAATACTTTAGCAATATTAAAGCTCAAGAGATTAAAAACAAGCGTGTCTTTTTGCAGCTTTCTTTGACAAGTTTCCTATCAGTATCCGTGCCTGCCCTGTAAAATAAATACATCTGTAGTATTCAGTACTGCCAACAGTTGCTTGTGAAACTCCCCCAGAACGGTACCAGTTCACTCTGATTTACGCTCTATTTGAAAGTGTTGAAGGGGAAAGCATGCATCTCTTCAGTTGGTCTGAATCAGTATAGCTTCACTGGGTTTTTTTTTATACCCACTGCCATCTCTTCCATAAGGTGCCTTAGATTTAATGATTTTATGGGTTAAGATATCAAGTCAGTGAAAAGTCATGAAATGAAAACGGATTAACAAGGTGGTTTTTACAAGCGCAGTCATTCTTCTTTACTGGTTTCCTCCTTTCCCTTACTCCTACCTTAAACGAAATAAGAAATTGGCCTGTCAGTAATTCTGTGCAGTAGTTTTGCTACATAATGTTTCCCGGTTCCTGTGTGGAACATTTTGGCTGCAGATTTTTTTTGCAAACCACATCTGTCAGATAAAGCAGCCATCACTTCACTCTTCAGCAAAATTACGTGAGAGCAATTTTTCATACAGAAAGAGAGCATGTCCATCCCCTGAGAGATCTGGTTCCTCATCGTGAAAATCACTGAGGGACCACAACAGATAAAAGTGGTTTTGCTGCCTCTCACCCTGCCCTGACTGTCATCTTGTGCTGCTCATCCCATTGGTCCCTAACTGAGGAATCGATTTCTAAGAAGCTCAGATGTTGACAGACTTCTGTATAGATGGGCCGGGAAACAGAGAGTGAGAGGCAGTAAGTCCTGTGTTTGTGCGCTGATGCTGAGGAACCTGGCAAGAAAATGGGGGAACTGGAAGTATTGATGCAGGATCTGAAACCAGATAGAACAGAGATAGGAGAAGCATGGTGGGACAACCATCACAAGAGGGAAATCAAAACAAAGGTGAAAGCATTGTGTGAGCTTTGAATGGGATTGTGTGCCGGAGAGAATAAATAAATTAGAACCTGAGTTAAAATCATTCTGGTGTAGGGTGGTAAAGGAGTGCAGCATTGGTGGTGTGGGCATTTTGTTACTGACTCTGAAATCAGACTGGGATGTGGAGAGAGAGTTCTGCAATATTGTTAATATGAGAGAGATTTCAGGGAATTGCCACAGGGAATTGTCTCACCTAAAGACCAAAGCTTTATCATGATAATGAAAATGTGGACGTGTTTTTAGATGTGAGAGCTGGCAGATTTTCCAAATGGTCACTTGCTCTTCAAGAGCTGGCTGGGTGGAAAAGTGCTGGAAAACAGTATGGGTCAAGTGATCAGGAGCTGATCCCATTTCAGTGAGATAAAAGTGTAAGCAGTAGATAGGTAGCTACCATCCCCAATTTCAAAAGGATGAGCACTGGCTATGGAGACCCACAATTCAGCCTCGTGGTCTGGGAGTGGAAGAGGCTGTGGATTTCCTTCTCTCCCCAGGGCATGGGCAGATGCAAGAGGCAGTGAGTATCACCTAGCTGGGGCTCAGCAGACTTCCTCCATCAGAGGATTCACGTTTGGGAAGGGGAGCAGTGGAGGCACTCAGCCTCACTAGTTGCAGGCGATGGAAGTCAGTGATCGGGCTATGTAAAGTAGGTTAAGGAACTGCAAGAGCAGGGAACTGTACCTGACACAAAGCAGGTCCCCTGTAGGTCTTCTGTTCCTGTTAGACTGCGGTCTTAGCCGGCAAACTATGGGATGCACAAAGCAGCCATCAGAGGCCAAAACTGAAAACTGCCTGTGGCCTTGCTCTGGAGCGCATCTGCAGGGCAGGACACAGGCCTGGCTGCTCAGGGCAACCGAGATGTCCTCATGAGGATAGACAGCAGCATCCTACCTCTTTTCTGTGTAAATCAGGAGGTTGCCTGCCTGCTTGCTTTTATTCCCCTTGAAGACATCGTGCTCTGCTCTTTCATAGCACTACACAAATCGAAGGTAGATGCAGGGGTTAGTCAGAGGCTGGGACCTTTTCAGCAAGTGACAAGGCAGGGTGCTACTTGCAGAAGAGGATATTCCAGTAACTGGAATATCGTGTCCCTATACACACATATCTGTATACATATATACATGGAATCGTGTACATATATAAATACACACATGTACATGTATGCATATGTATACATGTGTATATACACACATACATATATACATATATATAAAAAGCATGTGCTGCTGCTCAGCCATGGCTCATTTCTTCTATGGATCATCTGTCCTTGCATGAATGAAAATATGGTATTCTCTGTTGCTACTCTCTTGCTTTAAAAAAAAAAAAGCAAAACTAGAAGTCCTATGTATTCATGTTCATAAAAAGGAAGTATGTGCTGACATCTCACAAAGTATAAATACAACGGTTTCATTTTTCATTCCTTCTTGTTCTTGGTGTTAAAATCAAACTGGAATTTTCTTCCTCTCCCAGCACTGGTCCCTCACAGGATACAGCAAGTTCTGTAGAATGGCATAAATTTCTGCAAGGGAGCCTGGGCATTTGAAGTAAGTAACTGAAACACAGCAAGTTAGTCTAGCTGAGGTTAGGGCAGGAGCAGGCAGCACATTCACTTCCATTTTTTAATGACTGTGCAGTATCGTACTTGGTACCTGAAACCCTTACGTAGCTCTTCGATTTACTGAGTGTTTTAAAAAAAAAAAAAAGTAAGAAAAGTGCTAGTAAATATTTAGATTAAGTTAAAAATGAATGTCTTTACCACAAAGTCGTAGTACATTGCTTTTGGTCTGGTAAATCCAATCCTGTTTGCACAGGATGAAGAACTGGTGTTTTGTTCATAAAAACACCAGTCTTTTCTTAGATCTTTCCTACTCTCTCTCTTGCTAAAGTACCAGTCCCATCAGACTTTACTCCCCGGCCAGACTGGTAAATTTCATTATCCTCTGTTTTGGCAAATGCAATGACATGTGGCTTGTTCTCCTGTCCCCCTCTCAATCATTGGTGCTGCAAATGCCCTGAGAGACATCCCTTTGCACCAACTTTGTGACCGTCCCTTGTCTTCCCTTCCTCCAGAACACCCATCACACAAGACTCATCTTTCTTTCATGGTGTGACTTGGTCTTGGCCTACGCAACCCTTCTCAGGTGCCTGGTGGCCTGACCTGAGATTTTGTCCCTCAATGAGGCCATCCTGAATGGGTTTTTCCAGAAAACACCTTTTTTTGCTTTTCCACTATCTGTAATGTGTATCTCAAAGCGTGCCTTGTAAATGCTACTAAACCATGATAAATGGGGTATTAGGCAGAAATCCTTCATTCAAACTCTGCTTAAATCTTGTCTCTGCTATAATGCCTACAAAACAAGCAACCACCACAGGGGTTTTATTATTTTATCACAGCTTTGTTTTATTCAAGGTCGCATTACCTCCACCCATGTGCTTGACATTGCCATAGCCACCTGTTCTCTCATCCTATTTGCTACCATATTTAGTGAGCAGCATAAAGAACAGAGAACTGTATTAGTCAATCAATTTCTAATGGAGATTTAAAAAGAGGAACTTCTTCACCCATGCAATATGTCATTTGACATAAATGGGCTATCCGGAAAACTAAAAACATAACTAACTACTCTTAGTCTTCTACCTTCTGACTGCTGAGAGCAATACCGGTTTCCCTATTATTCAAATACTAAGGATTGGAAAGGTTTGAAGGTACGCTCAAGTCAATATTTCTGCTTTTTCTGATACATTAAGAAAAATACCAAAACCTGAGATTAACTCCCAACAGAAAACAAGAGTGTGGTAAGGAAAATGACAGAGAATCATCTTGTTTTCTGCTATAGCATGTGATCTTTCTGCCTACAGCTGAACATATGCCCTGTAAATCCCTTAACGCATCAGAACCTCTGGATGTTGCCACAATTTGCCCATGTCTGGGTTTGAGAGGGCAGAGACCCTTACAGCAAGAATATGACAATTTTCCTTTCTTTCCCCTCCCAGCATTAATTCTTCTTCAGTCCCCTAACTTCTCTTTCTTAATCAATTCTTTTCCTTCCCCACTCCATGACTGCCAGCAAACCCTGTTTCAGGAGGCTTGGTGTGCTCGTGGTTTTTTCACTGCCATCCCTTTGCTACCCCACGAAATCTTGTCTTGTGCTTGTTTACAAAACAAATCTGCACTTGTCAGTGAGGAGATGGCATGGAAAAGAATTAGCTACTGAAACTTGGGCTCTGAAATGTTGTCTTCTGGCGGTAAACACGTTGGCTGGGGAGCCAGTATCTTCAGCCACCTATGGCGCCCTAGAAATGGGGGCTGCCCCATTTCTGCAGGTGGCTGCTCCTCTGGAGACCTTCCAGGTCCCTGCTGTTGTGGGCTGGGCGTGGGGCACTCACTATTCCATTTCACTCAAGAAGAAAAGAGTTGAGAGAGCAGCTCTTTCCCAAGCCAGTTCCGAGGGCTCAATTCCTGCAGTTAGCAAACCATTAGCAAACCAAGCTCCCTGAGGAAGGGTGCAGGTGGACCATTCATGGTAGTTCAGCCTGGGCTTGTCCCCAGGGGCAGCCATGACTGAAATGTGTACGTCGTGGAAGGAGGGTCTTGAGAAATAGACTCACCTGCAAAAACCTGGGGAAGAGTCGGCTTTTATCAATGCCAATGAGGATGTGTAGGATCTCCAATAGAGATAATAACTGGCAAAGGCGCATTACAAGGCCTATAGAGTAAAACGTGTCGGCCAATGAATCTACAGACAAAGTGAAGAGGAAAATTAGAGGGTGGTTATGTAGTAAAAGTCTGACCAACTACTGGGTTTGCTCTTGCCCTATCAGCACTGGAGATGACAAGAGAGAAAGTTCACACAGTACCAAACTTTTGGGTAGCTTCGGGCAGGGGAGGAGGCAGTCCACTCTCTGTGGCTCTGACACAGAGGCAGGAAGCTGAGAAAAGAATGGGATCCCCTATACTTGATGCACTGGCAAACATTGTGCAGGATGTGTTGGTTTAGAGATATCACTTTAGGATATTTCTAAATATGAGGAAATGTTGAGGAAATATATGAGGAATGTCTAAACACGAGAAGATGCTGAGTTCCTGCCTGTATCTGTACCCATGGCACTTCCTAAAACAAGTAGACCACAAAGTAGGTATTTTATGTGCCTACAACTGTTCACCATTATAAATAATTTTTAATTTCCAGTCCCTAGTTTTCTATTTTTGTGCCTTAACCCCAGGCAACGGAAAGAGAAATACGTTGTAATGTTTTTGGAGATAGAGAGTCATGTGCAATAACCACAAACATATTCCTTCCTAGTGGCTTCAATAAGATTAATATTCACCATAATGGCTGGACCTAGTCACATTTAGGTCTAAGTCAAATGTTACTAGCATGCTGCTGAATATTAAAGCTCATTAGCCAAACAAGAGCTTCATTACTGATGTGATACAGGCAGAACATAGGTACCAGTAATTTGTTCATCCTTTTTAATGGAAGAAACAATGTTTTTCTAATTGAAACTACAGCCTCTGGTATTGGACAGGTACAGGTACACCTATTCAGAATCCTAACTTCATCTCTAATTTGAGGTTTCTGTGTGTCACTGCCTCTTAAAACCTTTAATGAAAACATAGAAGGAATCCTACCTTTTCCAAATGACATGAACCTGATGATCATATTTGTAAATATCCAGGAATGTCCACAGAATTGCATTAGGTCATACACAAAGAGGTAGGTGTTCATGGTAAAGCTGTGGAGGTGAAAATGATAAAGCAAACTGTATGACTTCCTACAACATTCAAGCTTTTCAACCTGTAGAAATTGCACCCTCTTTGGATAAGTTAGGAAATCAAAGGAAAACAGCCAAAATGTGAACAGATCAGTGAAAATTAACTGTGTCTGTCAGTGGTCACAGAACAGTACTCTACTCTCCCTGATGGATCAAAGGCTCCCTTGGGTTGGTATACCTAAGATATGCCCAGAAAAAATTTCTGAGTTTCCGCCAGTTATTAGGGTGATCTGTGACCATACAGTGAAATTTGTGCCTCTAGAGGAAAAAGTAACTAAACAAAGACACTTCACCGAGTGCTGGATTCAAGTCTGAGCCCTTTGGCTTGGCTCTGCCTTGATGGTGTGACCAGACTCGAGGGGCTGCTGGGGTCGCACCTGCCGCAGCCCTGCTGAGGGCCTTGGGTGCCCACCGCCACCAGCCTCGGGATTTCTGCATCTGGGTGAGGCTTATCCTCTTCTTCCCAGAAGACATGCCTCTAGCATGCACTCAAGACAGCTTCAAGTACAATGCAAATAATCTGCAGTGTCTTCAGCATAGATGTAAGTATTTATAAAAATATAGGTGAAGAAATGGAAGAGAAAGCCACATATCAATCTGCTTCAGATGCAGTCTGAAGGATATCTGTCTTTCCCTTTTTTAACCAACTTGTTCTACAGGTTTTCCAGATAAACATTAAATTAGGGTCTTTGTCTTTCTGCACAGCTTCTGTTTCAAGTTGCATTTAATAAAATGAAGCTTCTCCTATTGGAGCAGACTAACTTTTGTAGCTATTCTAACCAAATTTTCATAGGTAATCTGACTTTTTGCAAAACTTCATAGGCTCTGGCGATACTTAATTTCCCTTTCCCATAAAAGTATTTTCTTCTGACTTATTCCAGGGAGAAAGGCTTGCCTGTCCTCCAGCTATGAAAAGGACTATCTACCTTTTTGGGAAATGAATTTGTTAATTTTGTACTAGAATTTATCTCCTGTGATTGACCAATTAATTTCCTGCCCCAATAAATGTTAAGATCTTTTTAAGTTGCCCCTTGATCCAGTGTGTTCATGTGGTATGCCTCTGCCATTAAACTTTATTTCCTTTGTATCTGTACATTAACAAACACAGTGAATTTCTGTGTTTAGAAATATCTAAATATGATAAATGCATATACTTCATTCCCAGCATTGGACCAAGACCATAAATAACAATACACACTTCTGTAAATTGATCTAGATAAACTGATCTTCTAAATTTTTAATCTAAGTATATCCTAGAGAGGTCATAGAAAATGCCTTTCTTCCTCTCTTCCTGTTACACAGGATGGCTGCTATTCATATCATCACTTCTATAAGCACAGAAGGACTTTTTGGTATAATTGACTTCCCAAGAGACATCATGGTACTATAAAAATAAGACATATAAGGACCCAGACAAAGGAATGTATTCCATAAACACTCATTTTGGGAAAAGTATGATACAACTGAATTGGACTAAAGTCCAGTGAGCTCTAAAAATACTGACCCAAAATCCCATTTGCTTTATTGCTGAATGACACTTTGTTCTCTCTTGTGGTAAGAAAAAAAGATGGGACACTGTACATTACAAAAAGGCAAAAAATTAAGAACATTGTTCTGATTTAAGAAACAGCCTTATTACTGGATGGATAAGAATTACTGCAAGGGGTATGAAAATTACAGGAACAGTTACAAAAATCTCTAGGCTTTCCAGTCAGCACCTCTACCAGTCTCTTTGGTCTGATATTGCCATGTGGGCTTTGCACGGGATGCAAGCTGGGCATACAGTTTCTCTCTTCTTCTGAAGTTTAGTTTGCTACATCTCTCTCTCATCCTCAGAACTTGTCTTTCAGTGATTTGGGCTTATTTCCCAAACTCTTCCTCCATTGGCTGGCTAGAAAATTGTTGTCTTTACAATTCTTAAGCAGCTTAATCTTGGCTAAACAGGGCGTAACCAAGAGGACATTTGCAAACACAGCTTCACACTAGTGTTTTGGTAATACAGCAGCTATTGCATGTTAGAACTCATCATCTTTAAAATGTACTGGCAACTACTGAAATGTATACACGCTGTTGGCATTTATGGAGGGCCCCATATTCCCGATGAAGAGTAGAGATGTGCTGGCAGGCAGCGTGCTGGTGTTACCTGGAGGACTGATCCCAGCCCCAGAGCTGCGAGCAGCACAGCTCCCTCACTTGGTGATGCTCTCCACTGTGTGAAGGAACAGCCCTGATCTCAAAATGGGGTTTCATCCTACTATATTAATCCCCGCACAAAAGGTACCCAAGATCAAACAGAAGCCTTTGGGAGAAGTGAAGAAATCTGCGGAGGATAAAAGGTAATTTCAGTGTAATCAAAGGAAACTGAAATGTAACTGTTCTCTAAGGTCTTTCTCATCCAAAGGCTGATCTCTTTACCTAGAGAACCAGAAGCAGACTGAGGATAACCTATTTCACTGTCCTAACAGTTTTGTGTCACAACACAAAATTCAGCCATCTGCTTCTATTTGAAAGGTCACTGGCAGAAGAGATGGGCTTTAATCAGATTTCCTGCTCCCCTCGGTTCACAGCAGGCATCATAACCACGTTTACCTCACAGAGCCTGCTTCTGCAGCACCCTTGCAGACAACACACTGACTAGCAATCCACCAGATAGCTGTTCAGTTCCTGACGCTTGCTGGCTGACCTTACAAACCCCACTTAGCCTCCCTGGTGCCTGGTTTGTAAAATGGACTCGCTGCTGCATTTATTCCTTGTAGTGTGATGTGCTTTAACACTTTCAAGTGGCTTTCATTTGAAGGCATTGGGGGAGCACTGCACATTTCAGTCCTCTGCCTGCATTGATGACAAGAGAAAACCAGACATGGGTCTTGCAGTACAGAGACCCAGAAGGCTGGACTTCTTGACTGTTGTTTTAGTTGTCAGTTCCACATTACTTACTGTGGCTGATTTTATACCAAATACATTGAAATGCTAGGGGTGCATTTATCATATTTAGGATCAACCTTGTTTAGTGGAAAACTTTATCTGCTTTCTCTCTGGGCTCAAAACCTAGGAAACCAGATGAAACATAAGACCCCTCAGAACTAGCACACACAGCAGCATGGTACCAAACATCCTCTTTTCTCTTTTATTCACCAGCAGAGATTTTACCAGTGATACAGTTTTAGCTTGCAAAGCGTGACGTATTTCCACAGGCAGAAAAATCACGTAAGTATAATTGCTGCAGTTTATTATTTTTGCCATGAAGGTCTTCAGTCTGTCTCTGTGGTAGCTATCATCTGAGGTAAGTACGGAAGTAGGTGCCCTCAGTGTCTGAAGGGCGGTCAGGACCAAGCCCCCCGTGAGCTCAGGTAGTACAGCAGCGGCACCCAACTCGGGGCAGCCCTTGGGCTGGCTGGGTGTCCCCTGCAAGGTGCTGGGATGAAGGTCCCTCTCAGGGGGGGTCCCACCCAGGCCTGTATGAACTGAGCACTTCCTTGCCTTCAGAGCTATTGCACTCTGCTGCCTTCCCGTGCGCCCATACTGGCTGGCCGCACATGAGGAAGCAACCCCCGCGCTGAAACCAGAGAGCGATGTTCCTTTTTTTTTTTTTTTATTTCTGCAGGAAAGGTCTGCTAGAAAAGCCCCTCCGCTGACACAGTTTCCTTTTAAGTCACAGTGGTCTGAACTTCTACCCCTTCCCCCTCCCACCCCCTGTGGCAAGCTGGAAGCGCTATAGCTCAGGAAGAAGAAAGCTGCTGAGAACCACTACAAAAGATACACTTTTCTCTCACAGGCGCATACCCCCCCCTTTTTTTTCCCCTTCCTTTTCGCATTTGAGCACTCTAGGTCAACTGCGCTCAAGAGATATTACCTGTTGCAGGGGTCGGATTGCTGCTGCTGCTGCTGATCTTTCTCCTTTTTTCTCTCTACAGCTGCAACAGCTGTTTGTTGAGATCACCCCTCCTCTTTCCTCTTCCCCCACCCCATGACGTCACCGTATGTAGCACTGAGTAGGAACAACACTGCACTGCCCAAGAAAGGAGTTTCTAACCCCAAGTATCTCCACTCCATTCGCCCTGCTCCTCACCCAGCCTAGCCTAGCCTAGCTTAACATAACCTAACGTAACCTAACGTAACCTAACCTAGCCTAATCTAGCCTAAATTGGTTTCTTGCTGTTGTACCAGTAAGCTAGTCTGTAAATCCCACTAACTTTGTCTCTTAACCCAGAGCAATACTTCGAAGGATTACTGGAGAAAAGAAACGCAAAATTAAAAATCTGTTTTTCTCTTCTGTTTAAATCATCAGCACTACAACAGTGCTAACACCACTATTAAATGATAAGGAAGGCTGGGAGCACAGCATAAAAGGAGCACTTTAAATTACTTCATATAGAGGAAAGAATTTTCCACTTCTTATTTAGGAATCTATTCATGCCCCTGTGACATATGGGTGCTACTGGCAGAGGAAACATATGCGTGCATCCTAGTTTACTTCTGCCCTCAAGTGTCTGGGAGATATCAGCATAAATCAGATGAAGGAGAATGTCATAACATGTTTATAAACTCCCTTCTGCCAATAAATAAGTTTTCCCACTGGCACTCATGTTGAAAGCACATCCCATCCTACAGTGAGATTTGAAATTTGATGTTATGACTGAAGAAGTCACCAAGGACATAATGAGCATAGGATGTTATATGTAAGGTACAGGGCTCATAAATCCACTATTACATACTCACATTCTTCTTTGGGAGATGTAGAATATAATTCAGCTAGTGGGTTGTAGTAGATCTGGCCAATCAGACCTTATGCTAGCCCTTAGGATGTGTTTTTCACAAGAAAAATCCTTCTCTGAAATACAAGTTTTTTTCTGTGTACACTCATAGTTGAAAATGCGTGTAAGGTCTCTTTAGCTGTGCAATTTGTAGTGGTGTTTTTGTAATGTGATGGCCTGAGGGTATGAGAAAGGAAGAT